GACGAAAGAAAGGACGGACAAACGGATGGACGAAAGAAAGAACAGACAAAAGAAAGGACGGACGAAATGACGAAAGAAAGGACGGATGGACAAAAGGACAGACAAAAGGACGGACAAAAGGACGAACGAAAGGACGAAAGAAAGGACGAACAAAAGGATGGACAAACAGATGGACGAAAGAAAGAACGGACAAAAGAAACAACGGACGAAAGAAAGGACGGACGAAAGAGAGGACGGACGAAATGACGAAAGAAAGGACGGACGGACAGACAAAAGGATGGACAAACGAAAGGACGAAAGAAAGGACGAACAAAAGGATGGACGAAAGGATGGACGAACAAAAGGATGGATGAAAGGATGGACGAAAAGAAGGATGGACGAAAGACAGAAAGAAAGAAAAAAGAAAGAAAGATAGAAAGAAAGAAAGAAAGAAAGAAAGACATTAAATGTTATTAATTCATGTCATTTCTTCAAAATAAGATAAAAAGACAGAGCCTCACTGAGCTCACTCAGCCATGGAAAAACATTTGGTTCACAGCAAGTCCTGCTTTGTTCACCAGCAGCAGTAATAATAATGCATACTGTTGTCGCATAAAATCCTCCCATCATTTGCTTAATTCATAAACCTTAACAAGACATATTAACTGAACGTTAGCATGTAAAGCTAACGTGTATGAATGTTTAATTGAATTTGTATGCAGGGTACCTGGTTACTGCTGCCTGCCAGCTGAGCGAGTGAAGGGTGCCTCTGCAGGTGTGGGTGGGGATGTGAGGGAGGGCCAGTCGGTCAATCAGTAAATAGAGGCTGAGCCTGGAGAGGGCAGAGGTCACAGAGCCGTGTCCTGCTGCTGTGATGATGGCCTTGATGCAGTCCTGCAGCGCAGTAGGAAGGCGCACTGCCTGCAGTGACAGAACCTGTGCTTCTGACAGCTTTAAGTCAGGATGAAATCTGTGGGGAACAGAATGTATATGTATATATGCTCCAAATCGGACTACATGACTATTGATGTGCTGACAAGTGTGTTGCATAAGTAGCACCCTCAGAGGCATACTGATGACTGCATTAACAAACATATTTGATCACCAATCTGGAGGGATGGGACATTTATGACTCATCCAAAGAGAGATGTTTTCCTGAGAATTACTTGTAACTGAATCAAGAAGAGACACGCATCACACCGGCAACAATCAACTGTCACAATAATGTCAAAACAATATGAGAAACTTTGTGATAAGACACAACAGAGATAAGGACCTGTGCACGGAGTTGCACTTCACACAAAACAGAAAGACGCCTCTAAAGTTTCACTGACTAATCCATCTTCAACACGTACTCTTCTCCCAGTCATAACATCGTATGAAACTTGGTAGATTGATAAATTCTCGGTGTGCTTTCAACTTCTTTGCCGCAATCAAGCTGGTTAAAACTGTTGGAGAGACATTCTCATCTTTTTGAATTAGGTCAAATTAGAAGTAAATGAAGACAGATGAAACACAAGATGCCGAGCGTCTAAAACTAATTCTTGATGACAATTCTCCACGAGAGAGAACGTTATGTGAGAGTGATGTGTGGCAGTCCCTTTCTCTGATTAAAATAGCCTGCTATGAATTGTTCTCTTCAGTTTTTCCAACATATATTTAACCCATTTCCGTCCCCAGTAAAAGACAACTCTCTCGATAGAGAAGAATGTATCCCCTATAATTGTGCAGGGATAGTGGACTGCCAGGAAACTGGACCCCTGCTGGGGGTAAAAAAAAAAGAAAAAAAAGTCCAATAAAAAAATATCCATTCATTCGCAAATCAATGGTTTGCATTTGTGAGGGCCTTTGTGTGGTGCTGTTCTGAAATGTAATTAATGTGCACTTGTGTCAGTTCAGCTCAATGTGAGTGTCTTTACTGTGTTTTGGTGTCATTTACGGACTCCTCTGTGCAGCTCACCAAGGTTGAAGCTTTCTCCCCTCTTCACACACAGAGTGAAGCAGAGGAGAGGAAAGACAGCTAAAGTGAACATATGGACCACCCAAACATCTATAAATCAAGCTAAAATATCTGTGTGTTTTTTTAATGCAGGGCCCAGCTGAATCTGGCAACAGTGGCGATGATGCTAGCAGCTCTGCTCCTAGTGGGAGGGAAGCTTGTCCTGGACAGAGCACTAGTAGCTCTCCTGCTGATACAACTGCACCCCCGACACGCTCAGAAAGACAGGTTTTGACCCATCTTGGCTGTTAGAGAGGAAAAACTCCTCCTGGCTGTAGGAGACCGAAATCAGTGAGGTAAGGCGTAAAATATAAGTGAATAATAATGTGTAAATGTATAAATGTTCTTATTGTTACGTCATGTTTCATGTGTGTTAGTCGAGTCAACTGAATTGATAATAACAATATCTTGATGAAACCTTTGAATTACCTCCCACACATGGCCCATCAACCACCCCACAACAGTCAACCTAAGGGAAACACTGCAGAAACAATAGTCAAGCTTGGTCTCCAACCTTTTTCTACCATATTCTTTCCACAAGAACAAATCATAATAATCTGAGACCACGCTAACGCCGCACTGTGTGAATAAAAGTACGAAACATTAAGGCTCTTACTCAGCATCATCAGTAGAGACGCCATGCAGCTCTTGAAGGAGGCCGTCCATCCCAGAGTGCCAAGCAGTGTTCCAGGCCACCTGCAGGGCTTGGCGGGCAGGTGCTAAGGTCAGCAGGTCAGAGGAAGGGGGCAGGACGCAGCAGTATGGGCTGACAGCGTGATGAGTCGCTGCCTGAAATGGGATGTTGTACCTGGGAGAAAATTTGGGAGAAGAGAAAACTGTTTTTATATTGCTTGTGAAGTGCTGTTGATAAAAAGAAGAGACCTTGGCAGCTTTACAGCTCAGTTTACCTGCGGATTACTGACAGTGGCAGGGAGAACGGCGTGAGGGTCACATCTGGGTTGGAGTTGTCCGACCTAATATGACACAAAAAAATCAAGGTGTACACCAAAATGTTGAATGAATGCATATTGATTTTAAAGGCATGGAAACCCATGGGGAGGAAAGATAAACTCACCATATTTCAATGCTGGCAATCTCATCAAACAGCAGTAAACTCATCAGGACAGCTACCTCACTGCCATTGCCTTTGTTCTCCTTCAATATCAAGGATGCTATAATGAAGACACAATACAGTTTACATAACACCCACACCCTAATATTTATCACTAAACCTCATGGATAAACGACAGTTAGAAGTTTGGAAACCTGGTTTTGCTATGACATTATAATAACTTTAAGTTGGCCTCTGAGCTCTTAATGCAACAAGTGAGTGCTTTAACCTTTTCCATTCCACTAGGACGACAGTGTCCTCCGCCGACATTACTGTCATTTAGAGGGCGGCTGAGTTTCAAAGCTAGAGTTAGATATTGGTATCATGTAAAACAAAAAGACCTAGAGAATCCATTGGTACCAACTGTGTCACGCCAGCTTGTCCCTTGACCTCTGAGCTCAAGATATCTGAATGAAAATGGGTTCTATGGGTACCCACAAGTGTCCCTTTCACAGACGTGTCCATTTCATGTCAGTCCCATACAGTCCTGGGCAAAAACCATGTGTTTTGGAATTGCATAAAATGGGTATGACTACAGAGGTGAGACTTGAAACGTGACCTCTAGGATAATCACAGCCTCATGAAACTTTATAGCCACAAACTAGAGACTTCAGGCATTCAGAGGATGTATGGCTGTCACAGGTGTATTGACAATCAGGAGGTTTCTCTGCAGTTTCTGGAACAGAAGTGTGTGGTGCTAAAAATTACAGCATGGTTTCTATGGTGTTCCTCAAGATGTTGGTGTCCTAATGTAATATTTTGGAGGGATTTTTGAACATTTTTTTTTATCAGTCTTTAGTGTTAAAAATTCTAAAATTTAGCTCCAAATCTGTGTAACAAATGGTATAAACCCAAACACTGCTGTAACAACATCATTGAGCATGGGAACTGCCACCGTATACTTCCATTCTTCATCTTCTAAAACCTTATACACCCTAAACTTCAAATGTCAAAAGGCACATAACCAAAGCACAATGTTTATTACATATTTATGACTAGGAAAACTTGACACAGTGCTAAGCTGCATCTCAAATGAATCTTCAGTCTCCCAGCTTTCATATGATGTACACCACTATTATGGGGCATGCACTGTTGACATGCTATCTACCGCTTAAAATTCCCTCCTCACCCAGAAAAACACAATGTTCTGTATACAAATGTAAAAAACTGTCACATATTTTTGCATAAACCCTCTTTTTTAGTCTAAAACAGCCTACAAATATGCAGGTACTCACAATCAAGATGTTAGGATTTAAATGAATGCCTCCTAATTCAAAATAAGTGACTGATAATTTAGCTACGAATTATGCTGAGATGAGCTCCATGGCAACAAGTTGCATCACACTAATATGCCACTTACTGCAGTGTGACAACATGGTTAAAAGCTATGCATCAATGGATGACTTGTCATCGTTTTTTTTGAGAATGTGCCCCCAAGCTACACAACACGCCGTGTAGAGCTGTTACTTAATGAGTTGTCTTGTGAATGTACCTCTGAGCAGTGTGAGGAGCAGGAGGTTGCGATGTGCCAGACTGTGCCTCAGAGATGGATCAGCATACACCAGCTTCCTCAGGATACATACACAAGGCTCCAGCAGGCAATCTAAGCTCTGGGGAGGACAGCAACATACGCATGCAGTGTTTAATTGCAGGGAAAACACAAACAAACACACATATTCTCTTTCTGTCTCCTCCTGCTCTGTGTCTCTCCCATACAAATGCACAGGGTCTCTTTACTGTCTCTTCACATAAGCTGAACCCAAATTCTGTGATTGTGCAGGTTGCAGGCCGTGGAGGGTTGGGACGAATACAACCTGCAGGCATCCCTGTTATACACACTTGTTAGCCAAGACAAGTCATTCTCTGTGGCCCTGTCCCTTCACCTCCGTGTAGCCAGACATGCTGGACGATTACCCCTGTTAGCGGCTTCTGATTCAAGGCCTGGAAATGATCAGCAGACTGCAGTAACTAGAGGGCAAACGTCACTGCTGACCAGGGCCTGTCTGACACTATTAATACAGGCCATTTCATCCTTCTATCATGCACGCCTCGCTGGGTCTCCTCCACATCCACTGGCAATTCATGTACTCACATGAGAACACATAAACGAGGACATGTACACAAATGGGAGCGCATGGAACGGCATTTATGAGATTCAGGGGTTTGTTTAATTTGGCTTCAACAGCAATTCGTTCGGTACACATCCATTTATCACTTTGCCAAAGCAGGTTTGTTTTTACCTTGTTGCCGTTTACACTCCCCATAATGAAAGAAATGACTTTGTCTGCTATTCCAAGATTCTTCAGCACTGGGTGCATTGTTGTGTCTGCGGGGAAGTAAGAGAACAATTCAATGTACCGACGATAAACATTTGCATAATCATAAACTATTTGCTTTTCCCGCTTGTCTAAAACATATGGTAGTGGGAGGGCACACACTCTGCTGCACTCATTGCAAATTGTAGTTTTCACAAGGAAAGAGCTCTCACGTATCACACAAACTTTTAAAGTTGTTTTTTCTATTTTGTCAAGTCCATAAAATTGCGTCTAGAATCCTGTTCAGGCCTTTAAAACCTCTTTTTATGTGGTTGAGAATTCAGGCACTATACTTCACTATGGAATATCAATCTCAATATCATATCAGCTGTTAGGAGGATGTGAATTGTTAGCGACTACATCCTGCTTGTACACTCTGCAGTGATACCATCCCATTTGCAAGGTTGCAAGTACTTGTGGGGTACAGAATTGGCCCAAAGTATAACAAGTCAGTGTTTTTTCCATTAAAATATGCCTCTACATGAGCACTCTGATGTGAGAGGATTCAGCTATTACAGAGAAATGCACAGAGGTAGATTCTAAGGGTGGTTTAAAGGTATTATCCTGCCAGAGCCAAGATTCAGCGTGGAAATGTACTAAAATAATATAGCAGATGAGTTTATAAGATATACCATGGATTTAAGTTACCTTGTAGCACGACAGACAGCTGCTCTGCGGCCGATCTTCTCAGGGAGATATCGACGGTGTCTGAGTTCAGGATACAAAACAGCTTCTCCACCGACTCCACCTAGCCACCATTAATCACATTAAGAGGGCACTTAAATCCTCCCGTGAAGAAGTGTGTCTAAGTGTGCTGTTCCTTCTGTGCATGTTCATTTGTACCTTGAGGACAGACTTGCTGCTGGTGTCCAGTGTGATGTCTAAAGGGTGTCTGAGGCAGAAGAGATTGGGAAGCCAGGAAATCACTGGTTGATCCAGGTCTGGTCTGGCTGTGTTAGCATCATCATCGCCGGTTAAGTGGGGCAGGATTTGTTGTACTGCTGCTATTCTCACACTGTCAATGATGAGAAGAATTTATGCAAAACTTGGGAGTTAAATCATTTAAAATCACACTGTTTTAAACACAAATTAAAAACAACATAAAACAGCTCTATTCAAAGCAAGGCACACCTTCTGTCTGCGATAAAATACAGGGTTGAAAATGTTTGGTTTTGTTTTTTTCCCCCAACACAGCATCCAAATGGTGATTAGTTGTTATAAAAAACGGCTGGCAGGGCAGACAGATCTATTAGCTGTTGCCAGAATTTACCAGGGCTCGTCTCCTGCCCAGTGCCTGGTGTTAATTTCTATCTCTATCAATATTCATAGGCTGGGACTGGATAGCTGTTTTACACAGGCCTCACAGAGCACTCGGATGACTTGATGAGAACATCAGCTGACAGCGACAGACAGTGGTAATATGTCCATCACATTACACGTTGTAAGGCAGAATATTTAGACTCTCAGGAGTTTGTTTGGTTCAGAAAAAAAAAAAAAAAACAGAGACCCGACATCAAACTAATCAAACAGCAGCACGTGCATAGACACAGAAGAAACATGACAAACACACATCTCTGATATGCACACACATCCAGGTGGGCACATAACACCCAAACAAACAGAGTGACACAAATACAAACATTGACAAAGGAAAGACAGAGACCAAACTCACGTGGGTTGTTTGGTGAAAAGGAGTCGGAGCGCCGCTTTCAGCTTGGCTGTGCTTGGAAACACGTTCTCTCTCGCCGTGTCCGACATCTTACTTACCAGCAGGACACAGTTTCCAAGTGACTCTTCAGTGCCGGCGTAACCCTGCAACACACACGCACACAATTCTCAGACTGCCTTGGCAGACAATGGAGCAGACAATGGGGAATTCCAGCTAAGCAGCACAACAGTAAATAAAATATGCATCGCTTTGATTATGGGTGGTTTCATTTCGTCTCTTGTTGACATGGAGGGGCCCATCTCTGAATGGCCTCCTTGAATTAAATCACACTTGACAGCCTAGTCAAAACCTCATGTATATTCATGAAGAATTTCCAGGCTTCTGTTGCCTGAAACTGAACAATTAATAAAAGCTTGTTTCCCCCCCAAAAAAGGAAACAATATAACACAGAATATGTAAATGAGCAAATAACTAAATTTCCCTCACTGGCAGCTCAATGTGAAGTCTTTGTGGTCCAAGAGCGCTAAAATCTAACTTTTGATCATAGTTGTTTTTGATTGTGAAGAACATACAGTACAGCACTCCCCCCCTCGCTCCATGAATGTGATATGTGAGCTTCCAAACATGATGCCGCTTTATGAGCGTTGCAGCACAAATACAACACAGCCTCTGTAGAGAGCACAACACCTGTAATATGGGCATGACCGGGTAAAGTGCCTCATTGAATCTGTCCCAGGTTGACGCTGTCATCATCAATCGTCCTTTGAGCAGGAATAGCAGGATATCCTTGGCAGCAATGTTCACCTATAGATCACAGGTAAACTGCTGAATTCACAAAGGCGCTGCTGACAAAATATTTCCATGCTAGTACTGTAAGTGACACATTTTTAAATACTGGAATTACATGACATCAATGAACATGACCTCTTAAAAAAGAACACAGAAATTCCTGTACTTTAGACACCTTAGAGAAGTAGTCAAAATGACCTTGCTCCAAAGGTGTAAGAAATACTTTACTGTTCCCCAGGGTGAAATTAGGATATGCTACAGTCGCTTATATATAAAAGCATAGAGACTCGTGAGAAAATAGAAAATAAGAACTATTTAAATATTTTAAAAAAGTGCATTATGGTACAGTTTATAACACAATACACAATTAAAATTAATCCTATAAAAATACAGGACGTATACACATGCCTCTGCCTACCTTCTCTGAAGAATCCTGAAGTCCAAAAGCACTTATTTCATAGAGCACCCTGTGGTGGATAAGAAAGTTGACTGCACCGCAGGCTGCTGCTTCCTGTCGTGACACATTCTGGATGCCAAGGCAGCCCTGGAGGTGTATGTAATCACACCAAAGCACATCATAAATTATCGCTATCCCCCCACTCGCATACAGGAGTTACCAATTCACTTTAAATGTAGCCATGTATTCTAGACGACGGTTAGTAAAATGAAAAGGAAGTCTGATTTCAAATGTCAAGTGGGTTCTTTATCGCGCGGCATCAAAGATCTGTCATTCATCCCTCTCCGTCCTACTTATTTACATATGAATGCCGCACCAAACAGACCCACATTATGGCTTTAGGAGCCATAATTTTAGCCATGAACCCGCGTAGTCTCATTTAAACACTGACTGTCTGTATTGGATGGCTTGCTCTGACCTTGACCAGGTTTAAAGTGCTTTCGTATGTTTCCGTCTTGACAGGCGGTAAGGGATGGGACAGCAGCTTGAGGAGAAGTTTCTGGCTCTCTGTTTGGAGGAGGGGGCTGGGCTGGTCAAACTTCCACCTGGTGATGGACAACCAAAGATTTTAGCATAAAAATATCAAAAATATAAATGCAGCAGAACAAGTGAGTGACTTGAAAGATTTGTAACGTACAGGTAGGAGCAGATGTGCACACATTCCTTGATGATTGGTAAGTGCTGGTGAAATGGAAGGCCGTCTATGGCTTGGTCTGCCAGCTCCAGTATCTCCAACCAATTCTTTTCTCCCTTGATGCAGAAAAAACACGATGAACACAAAAATGCAGACATGAGTGACAGATATTGCTGTAACCTGAGGGGCCACAGCTAGTTACAGTTCTGTCAGGGTGGTTTTAAATGAAAAAACTGTAGGTTATATGTATGTAAACGATGGCTGCAGAGTTACTTGTATTGACGGTAATTATATGACATGCAGCTCACACCTCAGCTTGCACTTCCTTGAGGAAGTTGCAGGTAGACTCCATCCAGAGGGCAGCTCGTGTCACCCTCCTGTAGAGGTCGTGGCTGTCTGAGTTCACCTGCTCCAAGTAGGCCACTGCTGTTTCTTGCATGCTGGGTAATAAACTTCCAAACGACGTGTCCAAGCACAGGTGGAAAATAGCTGTTGCTATGTTTCCTGGGAGATTGTCACTAGCCTGTGTGAGGTTAAGAAACTTTATTTTCAAGTGAAATAATCACAGAAAACCATGAGGAAAGTTTTGTGATTTGGTCACTGGAGCACAAACACACACCTTTTCAGGAGGGAGGATGGTCTGTAGGAGTTTAACGGTGAATATAGCAGTGCCAGTGTAGGCCATTCTGTGATGAAGCTGACAGCTGTGGGGAATGTCTGCTGGAAAGCTCTGATGGTAGCTCAGGATGTCCCCCAACAGTTCCATGCAGCCTCGCAGCTTTTCCTTCTAAAAAAAAACACACACACACACAGACAGAAATGTAGACAAAAGCAAACATGCCGCACAAACACAGCGACACACACGTGCGTGCACTCGCGTCACATGCATGTTCGCAGACACAGACACACACCGACGCTCTGTGTGGCTTGGCTGGGGGCCAGGAGAAAAATTGCTCGTTCCAGGGGTTAGGAATTGAATGTAATCAGATTTCAGGGTTATTTTGGGACGAGATACAGATCCACCCTATCTCAGTATGAATAAATTGGAACAATCTATTCTCAGCCACTTTGTTCTAGGGGAGGAGAAACTGAACAATAGAAGAATTGAACCAGCAGGGGGCAGTAGATGCCCTGTGCATTGCTGTGGCTGGCATGAACAGTTCGGCCCATTCCCACAGGAAAAACCTAGAGGTCTGGCACACAAAAGCTGCTCTCCACATAAAGATGACAAAACAGTTCTCAGGCTGCACGGCTCAGGGCATGTATTAAACAGCAGAGGGCCAGAGGGGCCTGGGCTTGACAAGTGTATAAGTCCCTCTGCATAGGAACATACTCTTTAAACAGTCAAGGAGGATAACAAATGACTCTGCATGGTAAGAAAAACACACCATTTCATTGTATAGACTTTATACAAATAGCAAATAGAGACATTTACAGACCCAACAATGCTGTACTTGGATAAACCCAGGGGTACACACAGGAGGTGTGCATGTATGTGTGAGAAGCTCTTTGTAACCAGCGGTAAGCCTTTGTAACCGTATATAATTCATTCAGCTCAATCACATGCCTACAGTTCTCCTTGACAGCCGAGCACCGTATGCCTGTGTGTCTGTGGCAAATTGTCTGGTGGCCAACCCAGTTCCCCCTTTCAGTGAAGTGTATCCATTCATCTACATAAGAGGCTGTCATGAGTTGTGTTTTGACTTGCCAGCTCCATCCCCACCAGGCTGCGATCGTCCCAGACCAGCTCACAAACACTGTCCCTGAGCAGGGGGACGGTATCGCACAGCAGCTCCAGAACACGGTGGAACACATGCAAACCCTCTGAGAAAGAAGAGAGGAGGAGAGAAACTGAGCAAGAGCAGGGGAGATTTTTTTTTTGACAGGATCAAAATAATGATAGAATATAGTCAATGTAGGGGAACAGGTGAGGGGATATGTGCAGTATCTGATCTTTACTCGAGCAAAAAGAACAGATTGTGCCAACTGATTTATATAATTTACAAAATCTTTTCCGCCCCTTTACATAAAAGACTGCAACGACTCCTACCTGTTTTAAGTAGAGGTATGGCATGCTCCATGGTGGCCACTGTGAACTGAGCCAAAGTGAGCTGCTGTAACTGCAGCTCCAGGACATCTTCTACACCCAGGTCAGGAAGCTCCAAGTGGGCCACATCTGCGGGTGACTGGGGCGTCTGCCCAGGGGCCTGGACTGCTGCTCCACCTCTGTGCGAGCTGCCACTGGATGAATCAGAGACAGGCAGAGAAAGACCACTGTAAATTCATGATCCGAATTCAGACCACTCAAATACAAGGAGTGACGTATGAGCTGTATAGGGATGGATCTTAAAAACTGCCATCACGGGAATCAGAACTGATTTTTAAACACTGTAGACCGGCCGCTAGAGGGCTCCTGGTGTTTTTTTATTTCTAAAAAAGAATAATAAAATCCTCCACAGTCTTTCACACATTGTTTTATCTTTGTGTGCGGGTTGCTGGTGTCACTGGCAATTTTGTCATTATCAAAGCCACAAAAAATCCCACTGTGCACAAATTCCTAAAAAGTAGGAGTGAGGTCTGATGAACAGAATTGACAACACTGCTGAATCGTATCAAAAAGTTATTTCTACAAGCAAGGGAGGCAGACGAACATAATACCACTTGTGCCTCAGAAGTGTGACAGAAGCCAGACTGAATGAATCTCTGCTCTCACTGCCAACATGATGACTCAAAACATGCAAAGAAAAAATACCTTAGACAGCAAGAACAGCAAGAAGCAATGTACCAGAAGTAGTGCAGCGTCTTCTATAATCTCCTTCAGACTTTGTTGAAAATGCACAGCTACACATACATACCTGGTGGAAGCTGCATCTCCATCTTGGCCGTCTCCTCTGGCTCTCTGGCCTCTGCGTCCCACCACAGAGGGCCGAGGGGAACACTCAGCCCCTGGAGATGAGGCCTGGGAACGCTGGGTCCCCCGCACCTCTTGGGAGTGGGAGAAAGACGAGTTCTGGGACACTGGATCTACACAGCCGCAAAAAAGAAAAAAGAGGACATCCTTGTACATTTGATTAAGCCAAGAAAATATTATAATGGTGGTGTTTACAAACTCTTTATTGTAAGAAATTAATCAGCAGGATTAGATAGCTATAGCTGTTACATCTACTTTAATTAAATGTAAAACAGTGTAGGTCTTGCGTGGTGCTTTAGAAATTGGTCATTTGAAGTATAGGAGCGCCACATTGCGACCAAATACATAAATTTGTTACAAATGTACTTTAGTAAAAACAAACGTGTAAACTAACCAGATAAGCATCCAAAAATTCACAAGCTGCAATTCATAAGGCATGCTACCTTGCTTTGTAGAGTAGAAGCTTGGATCCTGATGAAAGCGGAGTCTTCTCCTTAGGCCCACACAAAGCTGCCGCAGGCAGGAGAGAGCCTGCAAGTGGAGGTAGCTTGCCTCACCTTTACCCGAACCCAGCCTCAACAGGGAGAGGAGGTTCTGGAAACACAAGGGGACATCAGAATAGTTTTATTACTATGAAGGTGAGTTATGGAGAGGTTTTCGGATTACATCTTTAACAACCACAAACATCCAATGCGGATATTTCATTGTGGCTCTGTTTACAAACAGAAAAACCAGAGCCTGAGCTGAGGCAAACAATGCACAACAACAGGGGGCCGAAACTAGGACAGTGATAGAAAAGTTGCAATAAAGTTCGCCAAATAAAAAGGGCAAGCTCAATTGAATTATTGAAGCAACAATTTGTTCCAAGTTCAGATTCCCTGCCCTCTGCAGCTAATGATGTCATGTCTCTAAATCCAAGTCTTTTAATTTAGCTTAATAGCTCTAGTAACTCAAAGGAGGGCCAAGTAAAGCCACAAGAAGAAGAGCACTTTCCCCATAATGATTTCTTTTGGATGATGAGACTGCTGGGTGACAGTATGCTAATACTGCCTTGAGACCGATGTAACATAATGCACCACTTTATTAACAAAATAGTAATGCTCACAGTGGCTCATCGGGGCAAAATGATGTCTCCTCCAACACTCCGTCTATGCCAATGAAATGAAGAGCTCTCATAACAGATGCACTTTGTTGCTGACATGATACGGGCAGATACATAAAAATGTGCAGGCCATTTTTTTTACAAAGATGGGAAGAGAGAGCATATCTCTTGAACATAAAAAAAGATGGAGTTCACTGTAGATTTACATCAGTCGGCCCCATATGAATTCAGCTACAGTACAAACTAACTTGACACAAGCACATCAACTTTTTTATTTGCAACACAGGACAGTTTAGATTCCTCCATAGCCAACAGTGCCTGCAGACAACTTGGACCACATTTACAGAATCTCTGCTATCCAAGGAGGCCAGTAGAGGAAAGAGGCAACACATTTTATCAAGGACTTTCAATCCCTTCAAGAGGTACATCATGACCAAGCTATATCCTCACAGCAATCTAGTGCCTGCTCAAGCAAAGTAAGCCTCCAGGGGCCTCCACAACCTCCTCCAAGATCAGGGACACAGAATTATAAATTGGTGTTTTGTTCAAGGACGCCATTTGACAGGTTATTATTTTGACAGTAGCTTGAGTGACCATCCCACAAATTCCATTATGGGATGGTCGCGCCAGCCACTCAAAATAACACACGTTGTTTTGATGTGAATAAACAACAAGACTAAACATGATGAACAGCTGATCCCAGAACCAGCAGAAAATAAACAAACCCTGGAATACTTTTAGTAACATCTTGAATTTTGTCTCCATGGAGACGCATGTTAAATCAAGCATTGAGAAATTTTAGGGTCAGAGACAAGCCACCATTTTTAGTCAAACCAGTAAAGGCTTATGTCTTCCATAAGCACTGAGAGTGACAAAAAATTCATACATCTTGTTAAGTTAAAATGATGGGGCTGATGGCCATTCTAATGTCCTGCTCCAGAGTGCTGAAACTATTAAAAACTCAACTTAATGAAAGATTTGTTTTTAATTACATACTTAACTTGAGCTCAGTACACCCTTAAATAAGTACTTAACTGCCGGAAAGATGGACTTTTCATAAAACTGGTCTGTCTATGCAGTAGAATTAAGCAAATAACTCTGAAATGGGTGCTACATGACCAAAGAAAACAGAGGATAAGGGCTGCTGTGTTCGCTTTTGCTCAAGAGGTAGATAACCTACAACTACAAAGAATGTACAGCACTGCTCCAGATCAATAAACGCTCCAGCTGGTGGGTGACATAACCGGTGTGGCAGTTTTGACCCAGGAAACATTACGACAGCCAGGTGTTAACAAACAAAACAAACAAAAGCTAAAATATGTTTCTGGAAGCATTTTAGGCGAGTCATAAGCAAAACTGTAACAGAATCTTGGTTTATATTTGATGAGCACTGCTAAGTTTTACCATTTGATCTCAGTTTGGTCAACATTTGAGAGAGGGGAGGATCCGCATTTATGCTCTTTATATCCTGGGTGGTGGGCATATGAAATTGCAGAAGTACAACCCATTCAATCAACAACCCTAGAGCGCAGATTTGAGCTGAGAGATGAGCAGAGAGATCTGGGCACTGGTATTTACACATACTACCCACAGTTAAAGTACAAAGCTGGCTGCTTATCAGCAATTCATCCCTTTAATGTTGACACTGAAACATGCAGGAGAAACCGATTGGTTCTAAAAAAAATAATACAAAATGGCGGACATTCTAACATTACTGTTAGTGTGAGCCCAAACCTACGACCGTAAATAATGGGAACTGCAACCACTTATTCACACTGTGTTTGTGGTATAATTTTAGGTTTGATCTTTCTGCTCATATTTTTAAAATATTTCAGTATAGCTATGCATGAACATATGCACATTAACAATACTACTGTTACTGATAGAACATTTATGATACCTTTATAATACTGGGCCTTTGCAGGAAGATCTCAGCAGGAAAATCTTGCATAATGACATCACACAGAAGTTCACATGTGGTCCGCACCAAGTTGGGGTTGCTGCTCCTTAGAGAACTGTTTCAAAAGAATTAAAGAAGATATGTTTACTTACCATTTAATATTCAGTAATTTAACATCACTGCATGCTACTGAAGTTGAAAAAACACTGTGAAAAGAAAACAACTAAATTAAATCTATCATGCATCTTTTTCAAGCTCAAAAACTGTCAAGATCCAAAAGCTGGCACAGACTGCTTCTTCGTCTGGTTATCTTGTTCTCTGATAAATTGTTTTCTGTGTTGAATCATCATTTTGTTAATTAGCAATACATTTAGCTGGGCATAAATTATTTGTAAGACACATGTTTTGTCTCTCACCTCTCATTGGATGAAAGTATGTGTCTGTCTGTGTTTGTCAAAGTCAGCCATGGAAACACAGAAAACTTGAGGCATCTCACAGACTCGTGCACTGCACAACACAGAGGGATAACAAATGTCAAATGGGTAATTTATTAAAAAAATGTACTGTGTGCATTGGACAAAAGTATGAGTGAAATTCAAGATGAAAGATGAAACCCAGCACACTAAGAGATCTATGGGTGAGTATTTAAAGTACCAGTACCTGCTATTTTCTGAGGTGGTACATCTGTGTGGCTTGGTATGCTTTTGTGGAAAAAGCCCATTTTAGGAAATTGCTCTTCAGGTAGAACAACTGCAGGTGCTGAAGCAGAGACACAAGATTTAACAAAATGTTTGTTCATATACTGCTACTATTTCATAACAATGCACACCACCCTCTTTCACCTCTCTCTGACTCTTACACGAGATTATAAACATTTAGTACTTTGAGGAAGACACAATCAAAACAAACATTCATTTGGCTTCAACTTGCAACACCTGTTGGAGCTGTAGTACGCTGTCCATGCGAGTAGACCATTATATGACTAGGGAGTAGCTCAGGTAGCTGGAACAGCTGGTCCAGGGTTCCATCGATGACAGCTCGCAGTCTGGGCTCCACATTAGGAGACAGTTGAGTGAGGAAGTCCACCGCCCCAACGTCTCTCAGCATCTGGGCTGCACTAGGATGCTTTGGAAGACAAAATGCCAAAATACAGAAGCATGAAATGAAAAATTTATGCTTCAGTGTAATGTTTGGTGTAGAAGTGTTAAAACACTTAGCATGAGTGTTGCTACAAAGTGTCACTGGAGAAATCTCACTGCATTTATGCCCTTGCTAATATTTAAAGGTCCAGTGTGTGAGATTTAGCAGGCTTTAGTGGCATCTAGTGGTGGGGACTGCAAACTGCAACCAGCTGACACTTCTCCTGGTTAGAATTCCCTTAGTTTTCATTGTTCAGGAGGTTTTTACCAGGAGCCAAATTATTGTCAGAGGTCTCTTCCTCTCCAAAACAAACAAACCAGGTGATTAAAAAACGGTAAGAACACTGAATAAAGCAGTTTCACATTACAAGTCGGTGTTTTTCCTACGCTGTTCGGCTCGTTGCAGATTGGCCACTAGCCCACATCTACTAATGTGTGCTCCCCATTTTTCTCTGATAACTTAAGAGTTTCAGAGAAAAAAGGAGATTTTTAGCAAGAGCGGAATTATCTGCAGAGGTCTCTTCCTCTCCAAAACAAACTATGTGAGGTCTCATTAATTTACTTTATATCCATACTAAAAATATGCATATGGATAAAAGCCAAAAATGGCATGTGCCAAAAAATATCTACAATCAGGCTTCCACCTCACCATCTGCATCGCCAATTTCCTGTCTCCAAAATGTTTGTATGTGTGGGTCAAAGTTTCTCCCATCAAGTCTGTTTTGATAAATCACAACTTTTGCATGGAAAGTACGAAATGTGTATAAATGAGACCCCAGGTGATTTAAACCCACTGAATAAATCAGCTTCATGTAAAAAAGAATCTGTGTTTTCCCGACACTGCTCAGCACTACAGTGGCTGACATGAAAATGCGAATTGCCCTATCTAGAGCCAGCGTTTGGTTTGTCTGTTCTTGGCTACTGTAGGAACATGGGGGTGCAACATGGCTATCTCTGTGGATAAGGACCCACTCCCTATGTTGATATAAACAGCTCATTCTAAGGTAACAAAAACACTACTAGTCTCATTTTCAGGTGATTATACGATAAAGAAAACGCACTTATTATATTCCATTTCAGGCAATGTATCCTCCTTTCTCCTACACACTAGACCTTTAAGTACAATGTATATGTGTGAGGTGCCACAAAAAGGGATCACATTATATATTATTCAAAGGCAAATATTGACACTACTTAAATTGACTGGTTCAGGTATGCTTAGCCATGTTAAAGAAAGGCTGAAGCCAAAGCCAAAATTACATTTAAAGTTTATCAGTAGTTACATATAGACAGTATTCATCTCTCTACCCCTGTCCACCAGAGGACTCACCCAGTATTATTATCTACCATCTGATCAGAAATGTACCTACCTTTGACAAAGTTGAGAGCAACCCAAGAACTTCCTCCTGCATTGGCACCTCAGGGAAATTGAACCATTCAAGCAGATACACAAACAGCATCTTCTCTTGGACGATGTCAGAGACGGAGATCAGTGAATGGTCCAGCTTGCATATGATGCTCTTCAATGCTCGGACTCTTATCTCCGCCAAAGAGTGGCCTGGAGTTTACAGAAAACAACGTATTAAAACGAGTACAGACATTATATATAGAGAGAGTTAGCAACGATGCGTTTTTAGCTAGTTAACAGCTAGCTAACTTTGGGTGGACGTTCAGAAAAGTTTTAGACTTAAGTTACGAAGCTAACGTTAGCGTTAACAATAATTACAACTCTTCATACAAAAGTTATAGTTACAGATAAAAGAAGTACACATAGAGAGGGTTTCTATTGTTAGCTAACGTTAGCAAGCAAGCAGTTAACATTAGGTAAGTGGGTTTAAACATCACTTCAGGTAGAGTCAGCCCCCTAAGCTAAGTTTGCTTAGCTAATAAGTTAGCCTAACGTTACCTATTTTCTTTATAAGTTGCGATAACTCCATGTTCAGTATATTGCGTCCCCCTGTGTAAAAAACACGTATAAAAGCTTCATCAATATCCGAGGCTTGTCAGTTATAGTTTACTCTGCGGTTGTTCGCAGGTGTCATGTCAACAACGTCTGTTTTCAACAAACGCGCCAGCGTCAGTCCACTTCCTGTAGAGGACCAGGGTGCGTTCAAGAGGTTCAACTTGTGTAGGACAAACAAAAATCTAAGTATTGAAGTCCGGCTGTGAAGTGAACATAGAGAAGTTTTGTGTTTGGGAAGTATTGAGCATACGACTGGATAAATAAGACTTAGATTATACTGCACGAGAAGTGTGAAAGTTTGTAAACGGATGTTATGATATAGATTTGCTGTTATTCTACGTGGTCCCAAATTAGTCATCAAATCTATATAATTCCTGTTTTCCCTGAAGGCATGTGAAGTACTCCCACTAAACAAGTAAATCCATTAGCCCAAGTTTTTATTTCTTTCTTTTACAGTTTCAAAATAGCAAAAAAGGGCCTGAAGGAAAAGTGTGGGCACCCTGCATGGTCAGTACTTAGTAGCATCCCCCTTGTCAAGTATCACAGCTTCTGAACACTTTTTGTATGCAGGTATGAGTCTGCCCGTCCTTGTTTGGGGGATTTTCACCCATTCTTCCTGCAAAAAGCTTCTAGTTCTGTGAGATTCTTGGGCCGTCTTGTATGCACTGCTCCTCTGAGATCTATCCACAGATTTGAGATGATGTTTAGGTTGTAGGACTGTGAGGGCTTCGGCAAAACCTTCAGCTTCAGGTAGTCCATTGTGGATTTCAAGGTGTGTTTAGGATCATTGTCCTGTTGTAGAAGCCATCCTCTCTTCATTTTCAGCATTTTTTTTTATACAGATGGTGTGATGTTTGCTTCCAGAATTAGCAGGAATCACTGGAATTGTTTCCCGTGCCACTGACTGCAACACAACCCCAAGGCATGATCAATCCACCCCTGTGTTAAACAGATGGACAGGTTTTCACTTCATGAACTTGTGCACCCTTTTTTCTCCAAACATACCTTTGCTCATTGGATCCGAAATGTTTGATTTTACTTCATCAGTCCACAGGACTTGTTTAGATGTTACTTTGCAAACGCCTGATGCTGAATTTTTTGGCGAGAACACAGGAAAGGTTCTCTTCTGATGACTCTTCCATGAAGGTCATATTTGCACAGTAGAACAGTGCACCACCACTCCAGAGTCTGGTAAATCTTCCTGCAGGTCTTTTGCAATCGAGCGATGGTTTTGATTTGCCTTTCTTAGAATCCTATGAGCAGCTCTCTAAAAAAGTATTCTTGGTCTTCCAGATCTGAACTTATTGGGACAAGGTTGCAGGAGTCAGTGTATTTATAAAGCTTTGAAATTTGAATCACCTGGCCTTTCCTAATTAAGGTGTGAGACCCTGTTAAAAGATGTCTGAGAGCTCAAATATCTTGGGGTGCCCAAACTTTACATGGTGCTGCTTTCATTTTTTCACTGTAATATTATACAAAACAAACAAAAAAAATACACTGATCTTTAACTTCATGCCATTTGCAGATCAGTCCATCTTCTACTTACTTAACAACTCACAAATTTGACTGTTGATTGCGTCTACCATCTTTACTCCATCAACAATGACACTAACAGTCCAACGACTTAATATCTCTTTGGCGAGGACCCTTTACCATGAGCAGTACCTCACAACTGATCAGATAATGTCCCATGATCAGTGTTTGTGGCATGGCATGCCTGATGAGCCAATATGTGGCACGTCTCTCTCATCTCATCTTTTGAAATGTTATGCAAACACACTGAAGCAATTTTTCTTGCCAGGATCACAAGTGTTTCAAGACGTGTTTCAAAATCACTGACAGCTTCTTGCATTGCTTTAAATATTGAAAGAAGTTCTGACAGCAGCCACATTATCCTGTCATTAAATTAATCTTCTCAATCATGATGTTCTCAGAAATCAAAGTTGGTGTGCATCGCCTCTCAACACGAGTGCAGGCGTAAATTCTTTTCATACTCTGTGTGTAAGTTAATCCAATTGCACAAGATCTCAGACTCGAGATGTGATGTGGATATGATCAGCCGACAGGGTGATAATTAACAAACTTAGCAAATGATAATTTGCTATGATAATAATATAATGGCACAGCTTTTGAGAATTCCGGAGGGATTTAAGCCTGTAATTAATTTGGCTGCGTACTGTATATTCCACTGTCACCTAGAGGAGTTTGAGGGGAGAGAAGGAAAATGATAATTTGTGCTTTCATAATTCATGACTGTTTTACTTCAGCGATAATAGGTATATTTTACAGATAATATAATATTCTCCTTTAGATACCTCATATACTGTACATCATGTGTTGCTCTAGAGCATTGACTGCACACTGAGCCAGATATTCAAATCCAAGCTGCCTGGATGAATGAAAAATTATTGCACATCCTTTTAATTTTGTGCAAAATATTTAACATATTTGGAAACCTTTGCCCCTTGACCAGAATTTAAAAACAAACTTTTGTGGGTTGCAACAGAGCTTGTCCACACAGCATGAGTCATATTGATGGACCTGCCAAAGGGTCCATTGACCTGAAAGTTAAAATATGTATTCCAGTTTGCCTGAGCTCTGATACAGTATATAAGACTGAGTTTTTATGAGTGTTTTTGACATTCTGCAGTTGTACAATGAGAATACAGAGTGAGAGTTCTGACACCCAAACAGCTGAGGAGGTCTTCTTTGCCTGGTGGAAAAATACATCGCCCTAGGTCAGACTAGGAGGTCTCAATAGCTGTGGAGTCTGCTTCAAACGGTACATCACATCATGTCTGTTTGACAAGCACTGTGTGTTTTGGATCATTTGTTAGCACAGGCTGCAGACAGGAAACAAAACTTTACTTTAAATAAATGAAAACATGGCGCACTACGTCTCTCATGCCTTTTATTTTTGACCATCAGACATAAAGTATGCTTTTCCCTTAAGTCCTAAAAACTGCAACTATCTCTTTATTCATACACCTCGTACATTTGTGGTTCTCTAAATTATATAAGTATAAACATAGTATAGCTTCTGCTTTTCAAAAGCAACTTAAGGATCCATATCATTGTAAATCATTTGCAAAATCTGTCAATTATTTTACATCATGGCTGAATTATTCATATGCCAAAAAGCACCTCAGGCTCTCGACGAATGCAAGCCTGATCTGTGAGTGGAAACCATGCCAATTTAAATACTTTGAAGCCAGATTTACTCTTGAAGCATCACAGTCTCTGGAGTCTCACCATGGTTAAAGCTGATCATGAGTCATCATGTGCCTGACCACTTTGGCCAACCTGGACAGAAGTTATAAAGCTGAAGTAGTTTCATTTCATTGGAGATACACGGTAGTGACTGCATACTGTGTACAGCTGGAAAAGTAGTATAAATGTATAAAACATGGAGCAAAATGAAAAATACTGGGATGGGGAGGAGAGGTTGAATCTTATATTTCACAAACCTCTGCATTATTAATATATCTTTTGTACCCTTCCCTTGACAATATCTCAAAAATATAGTCCGTTGTTTTAACTTGTTTCACTATTAAAGATCTAGTGTGTGGGATTTAGCGGCATCTAGTGGTGAGGTTGCAGATGGCAGCCAACTAAAACTATTGTGGCCCACGCAGAATCGTCCTGTCCTGTCCTGTCAGGAGCCAGTGTTTGGTTTAGCCATTCTGGGCAACTGTAGAAGTAGATATGAACAGATCTAAGGTAACAAAAACACAGCAATTCTTAGTTACCCAGTTAAAATATAGTTACGCATATTAAATTCAATTTCTTTTCCAATATGTCCCCCTAAAGCCCAGACACTGGACCTTTAAAAACTAGAAAAACAAAAACAAAGTATAAACAATTTATGATGGTGTAATGTCATTTAAATCTCAATACACTAATGGACAGCTAAGTTTTACAATGCGTACATAAGAAGTGAAATTAGCTAATTTGAAATGTATGGCAAACGCAACAAAATTATGTATATTTCAGAATGAAGAGACGCTAAATTAAAGGCTATACTTGATTTATAATATTAGAATATTGGCCAACTTTCTGACACATTTCACATTTTAAAACTTGCAGACTAATGTGAAGGAAGGGACAACTAATGGGAGGAATAACATAATATTCATAAAAAATAGTCCATGCATTCCGTGCTTCTTATAATTGACCTATCTGCCCTATTAGCTGGCTGACTGCGGAGGGAAAAGCCATCAAACAGTAAATGAATTTTTGCTCTCTCACAAACTCTCCTGTCTTCCTCTAAAAAAAATAAAAAAACACACAACTCTGCCACTTTGCTGACACCCCTAATAATTTTCACACAGGCCCTTTTAGCACATTCAGGGACTTAAAAAGTGGCTGAAATAAATTTAAATGTGAGGAAGCTGAAGTAAACTAAGCCATGTACAGTAAATGTTTCACCAAGTGCTTCACACAGGCTGCTGGGCACAAGGATCGGTTGCTGCCCTTTTCAGTATTTCATGCATAAAACAAGGTCAAATCACCTAATTAATCATATCATTATTGTAGATGTCCAAAATTCAGCACCCCATATGGCGACGCAATACAAGGAGCTACTTCCAGAATTAGTAATGTGAAATCAAGGGTGATGTTATAACAGACCCAGAGAGCATAAGCAAGCACAGGCATTGTTTTAACCAGGCGCCATTTGGACCGAGCTCAAGTCTCTATAGCTGAGTCATTACATTACATGTGGATGCAGCTGGTGTAAAAGTAATTAATGCACTCTATCTGAAGACCTCTTTTACCTGAGGCAAAAAGTGATATGATGGACTGATTCAGCCAGGGGGCACTCATTGATTTTTGAATATTGCTGCAACAAAATGAGGAAAATTAATAAATGAATCCGCTGAAATGAATCTACTGAGACACCCAAAACAATGAGATACTGCGGACATCACCCCCACCATAAATGCTCAGACTGTATTTTTTAAGCAAACCCTTTCTATGTTATTCCACAGTCATCCCGAAACAGAACCCAAATGGTCCCACTGGCCCTGTCATTGTTTGACATGCCTGCTGTACCCGTCTTCCGCTCCGCTGCAAGTGTTGAGGATATGAGCGTGGGCACCT